TCGACCGATAGTTCCTATGGCAGCTATATGGTATAGTGGTCCGATCCAGCTGGTTTTGACATACGTATGTGCTGCGTGCAACAGAAAGAGGGAGTTCTGCAAAGTTTCATTAAGATAGCTTTAAAACTGAGGGACTAGTTCGCATAGAAACAGACAGACGGACATGGCTCTATCGACTCGGCTGTTGATGCTGATAAAGAATATGTATACTTTATGGGGTCGGAGATGTCTCCTTCTATGCGTTACACATTTCACGACAAAATTATAATAGCTTCTGCAAGGGTATAAAAAAATACTACATTCTCAATACGACTGTTAACGATTCCCGATAGCTACCGAGAATCGATAAATTTTGAATTGCCATTTTGAGTAGACTGAACAGAAATAAACAAGAAACGTAAATTTTAACGATTACCCCTCTCAAAGTCGACGGAAATAGCAGAAAATTATAAATAAAAAAAAAAAAAACAAATTCATAATATCGTTGCTTTTAGTTCAGAAAAAATTCCTAACAGAAAAGCGCTGGATAGTTTGTTAAAACGTATGCTAAAAGTATATTACGTATATGAGGAATTGAGGGCTGGGTATCTGCTAGTCAGGATTTTATTAAATTTGTTTGCGAGACGTAGAAATATACACAGACACATAATAAAACGAATATTCTTTTATTGACTAATATTTATTATTTGTTTAAATTTGAATGTATGTCGAAACAGTGCGTTGTGTTTTCTTTTTTGTGCAGCCCTAAAAACTGTGGGGCTATGACGTCAAAATTGTAATGCGCATCTGAATTAGAGCATTTCTTTACTTTGCCACCTTGTATTCTTCTTGAAACATGATTCGTCAGTCTTAATTTTTTGTCCGATAGAAAAAACGTGAATTTTTTTGGTAGTTGTGCGTTTTCTATTTATAATAACGCTTGAAAGTAAAAGGTTTATCTACTGATAATGAGGGATGGAAATTGAATACCACCCCATTTCGGAGGAATGACTATAATTCCACAAGCTTATACATCATATGTATTTATATTCACAAATGTATAGAAGGCATACGTACAACACTAGCATATATGTTTACATACAGTTCGGAGCATTAGATCTTTCTCCAATACCGGCAAATTGTTATTTTTATTGTTCGCATTTCTATACACGTGTGTATGAATGACTGAACATACATTTTCTAAGACTGTATCGCGAGGAAAAATAATAGTCAAGTTATGATGTGTACACTTGTTTATACAAACATTGTATTCACATCATAAGTATTCACATCTGGAAATGATGGGTTCGAATGTACAGAGCCTTTGTTTTGGTTACCTGCTCCGGGTCGTTTTTTTGCTTGCTGCTTCTATAGGTTTAGGTTGGTATTTTTTGGTATTATTAAGTAACATGTATATTAAAACAAATATGTATGTATGTGTATATACAAAAGGTAAAACCATTCTTTTATGTATACATATGTTCAACACCATATCAATACTTCAACGGTGGTTTTGAAACAATCGTATACTATTCGTAATTGGTATATAAAAAACTTGAACAAACCAAACCTGACCTCTTACTATTTGCACAACTATAATTTTGTATTTTGAAGTTGTCCTTATAGTTGGCAAATTCAACGAAAATAACTTCGAATAAATTATAGTTATTTATAGATGTTTCGTTTACTCTAAACATATGCAAAGCTATGTTAATTACCTATGAATACATCACCACATGTATTAAACAAAAGTATTACTTATCTACATAAGGTATAGAAGTATGGAGCCCAGCGATAACAATTCGAAATAACAGTTTTTAATAGTTATATGTTATTGGTACATTCATAAAATGAAACCCGTTAAGACTTAATGTTTTGAGCACCATATCGTTTTTGTTGCAGACACAAGAAGCCTTTATATTCATACATACATAATTCATATACATATAATGTTTTTATGCTATGTTTACATAGGTCCGTCTATCTGCTGAATGGAGTACCTATGGCGGAGCCGGCCGGATCGGATCTCTTATTATATAGCTGTCATAGATACAATTGATCGAAAATCAGGTTTTTGTATGAAAAACTTATTGGCTTGTCAATATATCTTAACCCATCTCGGCATTTATTAGTTTCATTATGCTTCTCATGTATAAGCAAAAGCTTCCAGCGATCGAATGTTAGGTTCTTATATGAAATGTTGTTGTTTTTCAAGATAATAAATTAAGCAATATATGAACCAATTATTATAATGAGCGCACTACAATATTATAGAGCTCTATGCAAAAAATTGGTCGAAATATTAGTTTTTATTTAACAAAATATTCTCATTTCCAAGACATTTTCAAGATATGTTTCAAACATAGTTAATTGTCTACAAGGGTATTTAGCCTTGGGCGTGCTAACTGACAACTGTTATTTCTTGTTTAAATGGCTACATTGTATTAGGAATATTCGTTCTAATGATTGTCTTAAAATGTTTGCACATTAGATTACTTTTTTTACATTTATAAATGTGCATAAGCAGGGGGGCAGTGTTGAAATTGTAATTCAACAAATTTGTTTCCCCAAGGCATAAAAGTTGCAAGAAATTGCAAAGTTAAAAATTGCTTTGGACAATTTATATCAACCTAAAAACAATAATACCAAATTACCATTAACTCGGCTTTTAGGGAAGTGTACAGACAGATCCGTCTTACAATGCTACAGATGTTCAGTAACTGTGGAGAAGTATTTTGTTGACAATGCAACAGTTATGACACCCTTGTGCTCCAAATTCCAAGAGTCTTCACTATATATGGTCCAGTGTCCCTATTCTACGATGTGTTTGAAAACGATCTCTAATTTACATCTTCAAAATGGCCAGATGCAAGAAACCGTAACAAGAGGTTGTGCACAGCAGAAGAACACCACTCAGGTTTGTTTTTTAAAAATAAAATTCATATAATATGCATAATGCTTTAAATCAAGCTAAAATCATTAATAAAAAAAATCGGAAAATCAACATTCTGTTTGTCATTACTCAACTACTACTGATTGGCTATCAACGCACAGCCCAAACCGTAAGCGCACAAACCATACAACATATGTATGGTTAGTGGAACTAGCTAGGAACGTTAAATTTTAAGCTAAGTTAGTTATTGGTTTTCTGTCCGATCAGTCACTAATAATGGTCATTCTATAAATTTATTTTAAACGTGTTTCAACCTTTACGCTGCTTTTCTGTTACAGGTATTTCGCAATAAGCAGTGGGAGCAGGAGCATTTAGTGCAGGAGGTGTATAAGGAAGGCTGCACAGAAATTCCGGCTAACAACTTGGCGGGATCAAAAAATGTTCACTGCTATTGCCGCGGAGAATTGTGCAATTCATCAAATTTCTTTAGTATTGATAGAAAACTGCTAAGCATGATCATTTTATTCAATGTGATCCCAATTTGGTTTCCCACACAACTATGTAATTTTAATGTTTTTGATTAACAGTTGTGATCATTTATAAATAAATTAACGACTTGGAATGCCCTTTTGTGATAAAACACTTCAGTTGTTTCAATTAGCGTTTAACTATACCGACTAGAACGATTTTATATTATTTTAATAAACTAGGGATTTCCCTAATTTTTATAATTACACAAACGATCACATCCTATAAAACATCAGATTATCTTTGGAATCCTCTACTACCACATTATAAATTGCCCTCATAAAAACCACAATCTTTTAATTAAGCCAACTCTACAAAAAATTGTCTGTCCCTGAACACATGCTGTCACGATAAAGCAGTAAAGCTTAAGTAACTCAAAATTGAGATCATTAAAATTGGAACTGCTTGAAAACGGGGCAAGTTATCGATTATCGCAAACAAACCTACACTTTATAGGCCACTACTTACATTTGCGCAAAAACATTATACTCTTTTTACCCACTTTAAATGAGTTCAGGGTATAATTATTTGCTAAAATTATAATTATTTTATTATATATATTATTATCTTATATATAATACATAAATAATTAAAAATTTTTATTGAGTTGAGACGAAGCAATTTGAGCACCGACTAATAAGCGCGGAGTACAAACAACTGAGGTTACTAATCTCTATATATGAAACTATTTGTCCTGACTGACTGACTGATTGGTGATCAACTCACAGCCCATACTGTAAAAGCTAGGAAGCTGAAATTTTTGACTGTATTGATCACATATTACCTTATGTGATGTAAGTGCAAAGATCTTTGTTCAAAATCATTTGAGGGGTGTTTCGCATTTTTGGGAAAATCCATTCCTCCTTGGTAGAAATGGGGTCAGAGATTTGGTGGGTGACGTTTCGCGCTCAAATTCATTTTCTAAAATCTTTATGAAAAATCATTTGAGACGTGTTTCACACTTTTCGCAGAAACTTCCTCAGTACAAATGCGATTCAAAGATTTTTTGGGCGAAGTCTTAAGTTGGGTCCTATTTGCTTCAAATACGCTACATAAAATCTTTATAAATACGTGTTTAGGCGATTTGGAAAATTCCATCCGCAACAGTGATAATTTGGCGGAAACGTTTGTGTGCATGTTGTTTGTTTATTGTATACGTGCCACGGGCAAGTCCGGGCCATACCCGCTAGTTAATAAATATAAACTTTTACTTTTAGAAGTAACCAATTGAAAAACTAATATATGTTACGAAAACCAACGTTCGTAACATATATTCGATTGTTTGTCTATGCTTTCGGTTTCTCTTAAAAGAAAATTTGCTTGCTTTCTTTGCGTTTTGTCTTTGATATCAAGCTGTAAACTGGGTTTAAACTACCCAAAAAGAAATGCTTTCAACAAAAGATAGTTCGGTTGACAATTTAGTCAGCTAACCCGGTTAAGGATTCTGTTAAAGGTAAATACAAATTGGAATGGCGGGATCAACTAGGTTGGATTTAAACTCAATTGGCAGCTTTGAGTGTAATTAATAGACTATGTAGAATAATTTTCATAAAAACACATTCGGACATGATTCTGTCCATTTTGTTGTTGCGCTACTTACCATTGTATTATTTTCAGTAAGGCACAAGCATACGACATCTTCACGCAAAAGTCTGACTGCCGAGTGAAGGGGATATTTGGTTTTGCTTTTGAGCATTTTAAACAGCAATGGTCCTGACATATGTTCAAAGTCTTGTGGGGTTAAATCATCCCAGTGCGTGGATATTATTCCCGAACAGTATTCAAGGAGACAAGCAGCTCCCACTTCTTCAGCAACACAATAGAATCGCACACAAGATCGTACTCCCACTGACGCCACTAAAGCTCTCTCGCAGAGCCCGAGAAGTCCAGGTAAGGAAAAACGATGCGCCACTCGCAGAAGCCCCAATGTTAGTCGATCGTGTTGTAAGTCAATAATATCAGTGTAAATCCAACGCAACAGCGATGTTGCTATATCTTCATCTAAATCGCTCCAATCTAGTTCTTTTGCACTAACCAAGGACTCATCATTACGCCATTTCTCCGAGCGTGCATGAAGGACAAATTTATGTGCCGGCATAATTGTCCCATGGGTATTTGTCCTAATGTTTAGGTCGGAGTAAATGGAACATCCATATAATGAAGCCGTCGTCAGTGCGAGTCGTGACACAAAGCTGCTAAATTCTCCCGTAGTCCCGGGATCTGCGGTTGAGGCAATTACTTCATTATACTTGCGTTCTAGTTCTACATAACTGCGCTGAAGTTTTGTATATTCTTCTTTTAAAAGAGCAAGGTCTTTTTCCAGTTTAGTAATTGAAGCAAAGTCGTTACAACCTACGACAAAAGTAATTCTCTTTTATATTGCAGTTGTGTAAATGCATTTAACAAAACGAATATTCTTAAAATAGTTAAATAAATATGTATTTTTATAGGTACATTTGTTATATACCATTGGAATTCGCAGATAGTACATATCTACATCTACATTTGTTATGTAGCCCTATCTATGTTTAATTTAACAGTGTGTAAAGCATTACGTACCCATGCTTATTTTGTACTCTACTAGAAAATAAACGAAATTTTAAGATATATTTATGAACATCTGACTTTTGATACTAAATCGGCTAACATTACTATCGTAACTGTATTAAAATACTAAAGAAACACCGAATCGACGATGTATCGTTTTGTATATTATAAAATTACAATCGATTTATTGTACTTAATTTTGTTATGAAGGTTTCACGATAAAAGAGATGTTAGGAAAACTGTTTTGCATAATATAAGTTAATGTCTTTGTTCGATTTACATTTACATAAAATTTAATAATGTAACGAAACTTAATTTTTGAATAAAATAAATACCAACCTAAAAGAGGCTGGCGCCAAATTATTTAAATATGTTTGTATGTGAAAAAAACGCTGATTTTTACATTGTGCTTGAGTATAAAAACTAATTTTTTTTCCAAGTTTCCACATTTGTTTATGGAATAATCAAGTTTGCAGAAACAAATATCAAATTTTTCTGCAAAACGATGTTGTTCAAGCTAAACTTAAAATTACGGTCTTCCATTTTGGCAAAATTGTGAAGCACCCATAAAATATATTTTCACAAATATATTTGAATATAATTATGACAGCTTTATTACGCGTGGAATTTCTAAAATCGCTGTAAATTGCATTCAATAAGTGCTTATGTAGGCTTTAAAAAATTATTTTATAGTCGATCGGACGAAACTTTAAGCCGCTTTCACGGTTGATCTAAGCACAGATGTATTTTCGTCGGCACTTGCTCATTTCATGCGATCTTATCCTCGATTACTTAGAGTATCGGGCTTGGTATCTTAACTTGAATTGAAATTAACGGCTTACACTCCCTTTTTTATGGTTCTTTTGAGATGACACTTCATGGCCTTAACTTCCCATACCCCTCCAAAAGTTTATTTACCAATTTTGGTGCGATCAATCTTGAAATGTACGAGTTGTGTGCCTCTCCATCAGCTTGTATGTTATTGTTGGCTCCAACAATCACAATAACTATCTTTACATAGACCACGACTGCCTATAAATCGATATAAGGCTTCTAAAAACGAATCTGACGTTAAATCTCCAACCAGTTTTTAGTGTACGGCCTTTCCCACCAGACATATAACCACGGCGACGTATCCCCTTTGATTGGTAAATATAAATGGGTCAAGCATAATAAGCTCTAGACGGCCGTACATGTACCGATCGTAAATTTCCCTTTTGTTGTGTTGAAGAATGGGGCTTCATTTTGAAAGATGTGATACCTTCGGGTATCACCCGTGCAAGGTGCAGGCATAACTATGATTGACGACAAGACTCGTACAAAATTGTTTAAAGGGCTATAAATAAGACTTTTTCTGACTCTCTGGCAAAATGGCATCGCCAAATCTTCTTTCGAGACATAAAACGTGATCCCTCAGATCAAAATATGGATTAACGGGTGCATAAGTTCATATTCTTTGGAACCGGCTTGGCAATACAGATTCCTTTCCATTCCATTTGAAAACAGTCCTTCTGAAAGCTCAGCTCGGACTTTGTCATGCGGTAGCTTCGAATAAAACATTTAATATATGCCAAACCCAAAGAAGTCGTACTTTGACTACGCAGCCAAAACAGCCGGAGCGACCTCGCAACTGATATGATCAGCATACATCACTTATACTTATAACGTTGCTCTACGAAGCAACTGTTTAAATTTCCCTATTATTTTTGCTTAAATTCTTTCGATTCGTGCCTTTGGTACATATTGGCCACATGCCGATCAATTGTTGCTTTGCGGCAACGTACTAATTCGGTGTGACGATGCGGCTGAAGAAAACAAAAACGAATTTCTACTCTTGGCCAGTTATATTCATAATGTTAGTTGTATTAGCGAAATCAATTTTAATTGTGAAGTAGTTCGTTTTCTCTGTCGATGTTCGCTCTGATTGTCATCCTTTTGTCGTTTTCCCGTGAATGGCAGCTTTGAGGTAGGCCCGATATATATATGCCGATTGATCGCAGTACTCCCCCTAGACAAGTCATAGATTGTAAGGACGAGTCCTATGTCATATGTGCGAAGTGATCGAACTTCGATTCGTGAGTCTCCTTCATCCACGGGGCCAGCTGCGTCATTCGTGAAGACGGCTTCCCCAGCCCCTTCAATTGCCATAAATGCAGGTTTTAATCTGGCAATCGACATTGCTGATTCTTTGCCATTGACCCGTACGACGAAGACCCGATCTAATGGCTTAGATATCACCTCATACGGTCCTGAGTATGAAGGCTCCAACGGCTGTCTTACCGCGTCAGTCCTGGCGAATACATGAGAGCATTCATGTATGGCTTTGTGCAGAAAGAGTTTCGAATTGCTATGATGCAAAGCTGGTATCGACCTTACCGCCTGCATGTTGGTATGAAACTGACTGACGAACTGACATGTGTTCGAGGGTGCGTCCAGGTCATAGAACTATTCGTTGGGGAGGCGAAGTGTGCACACGTACAACAGTTGATGCTTGAAGATCTTACTTTAAACACGTTCGGAGGCCAAGCATAACAGTTTGAAATAGTTTGGTCCATGGGGTCTGCGCGTTGCGCATTAAAGCGGCTTTCATAAACCTATGCCAACGGTCGACCATGCCGTTTGACTGTGGGTGGCATGGTGTCGTGTGGATGTATTCACTGCCCTAAACTCCTAAATTGGCTAGTGATTTAAAGAGTGCAGACTCGAATTGTGCCCCTTGATCGATGGTGATTTTCAAGGGACACCCAAACCGTGATGTCCAGCGTGACCAAATTGCATCGCAGAACATCTGTGGTGTCAGAGGTACTGTCACCGGCCGGCGAGAAAACCGGTCGATCATCGTCAGGCAATACCTGTATCCACCTACCAAGGGCATCACGACAAGGTCGAGGTGTATATGGTCAAGTCTACGGTCAGGGACACTAATTTTGGTAGGTATCATCGAGTTGTGTTTATGTATTTTCGCCCTCTGACATGGCCAGCAATTTCGTGACCATTCCAATATGTCCTTACGCCAAACATATTGAGCACATCTTTGTTTGACTGTAGATCTGCCACTAGGATGAGAGAGTCGGTGAACATTTTAAAATATGTTCTATCTCAATATCTGTGGAATATATGGTCTAGGAATTGGTGCCGATACGACGCAGTACAGGAAAGTTTGCTCGTTGACTTGCATTGACTGTAGCTGTTTAACATACTTATACCTCATTTAACATACTTATCAGTTCTCTGACCGTTGCTTGGGCCGCTTCAATGATTTTTGTATGGATCGTCGTCGGCTTCGTTATGGCATTAATCCTGAAGAGAGCGTCTGCTACTACGTTGTCGCTGCCGTTTACATGTAGGATCTTTGTGGAGTATTGGGAGATAAATATTAATTGCTTCTAGCATGTGCTTGAAATACTTGATCGCTTCATAGATTGCTAGTAGCTCCCTGTCATATGTGCTATACCTGCCTTCCGTTGCCCTTAGTTGTTTCGAAAAGAAAACCAAGGGGCTCTCGTGTACCTCTGTTGTATTGCTCCAATACCGCACCGATAGCTACGTCGGAGGCATCACAAGTCAGGTTTAGATCTGCGTGTGGGAAGAGATGAGCGAGAGTGGCTGCATTTGCAATGCTGGCTTTGCAATTTTCAAATGCCCTGATTGTCTTCGCCTTCCACTCTACTGGTCGTTTGTCATTCTTCTTAATGTTTCTCGTCAAACGTTGAGTGGTGCCTGAGTTTCTGAAGCATGTGGTATACAGCGGCGATAGTAGTTCATTATTCCCAGGAAGCGGCCCAGTTCGCATATTGTTTGTGGCCGACTGCACTCTGCGATTGCCTATATGCGTTCCTCTGGAGGTTAAATACCATTGCCATTAACTGTCTAGCTTAAAAACAATGCCTCAGTTTTTTGAAAATTGAATTTTTCGTCGTTAATCCTGAGTCCGTTTGCTTGCAGGATCCGTAGCACATTGATCACATGTTACTTATGCTGCTCAACTGAGTTTGACATTATCAGGATGTCATCTATGTAGCAGAACACATAGTCGACTCCTCGGAAAAGTTGGTCCATGAAACGCTGGAAAGCTTGCGTTGCATTTTTGAGTCCAAATGGCAAGTATAAAAATTCAATAATACCAAACGGAGTACATATTTTAGTTTTCTCAGTGTCTGCTGGTGCCATCGATATCTGATAGTATGCGCGTTCTAAGTCTAAAGTTGTGAAAATGTGTTTACCATGTAACCAGTCTGCGAAGTCGTGCATGTGTGGTATCGGATAACGATCAGGAGTTGTTATCAGACTTTGCGAATAGCGACAGATTCCTTCGTCGATCAGTTGATAGATTTGTGCTTTCGCTGATGCCAGTTTCTCACCCATCAGTCGCCGTGGACGAATTGCCGTGTAAGTTGTTGACCGTGTTGGCCGCCTCTGTATGTTTTGCGTGAGGGCTATGACTGTGTGGTTTTCCTGCATTATTTGCAGCTTCGAAATGGTGCGAGTTGATTAAACTGCCGACAATTGGGTGTTTCTGTGTAGAGATAAGATGTTGTTGCTTGATGTCCATGAGCAAATGGAACTGTAACAGAAAGTCAGCGCCAATTATTGCCGTTTGCACGTCAGCAATGATAAATGACCACTTAAAAGCACGAGCCAGGCATAAGTCGAGCTCTAGGTGTAGGTTGCCATATGTTTGTATTATGGTTCGGTTTCCGGCATGTAATTGCAGTTAACCTTTTTGAAGTTTTCTGTTTGTCCTTGCACAATGCAAGGTACAACTGACACCACAGATCCAGAATCACCGAGGAAGATATGATTAGTATGCAGATCCTGTTGGTGTAGACGGTGGTCTTTCCCCCCGTCGCCGGTGCTAAATGGTTGCTTGTCGTGGAAATGCTTCCGTCGTCCAGCTGAGCTAACGGCAGCCGCGCTAGTTTAACTGTTGGTAATGTGGACAGCTTGGTTGGCATTTACGGGCGCGATTACCAAACTTGCTGTGCTAGAAGCAGAGCGATCTTTTATCCCCACTTCTCTCGTTGTTTCTCGGTTTTGATGAGCGTGCATATGACTATTTTGGGTTACGACATTCGTCCTGTAGCTTATCG